ATGTTTACAGATGTGACGTAATGACTCATTATAGCTTATACTAGCCGAGACTCTTCTTCATGTGTACAGATGTGGCGTAATGACTCAATATAGCTTATACTAGCCGAGACTCTTCTTCATGTGTACAGATGTGACGTAATGACTCAATATAGCTTATACTAGCCGAGACTCTTCTTCATGTGTACAGACGTGACGTAATGACTCATTATAGCTTATACTAGCCGAGACTCTTCTTCATGTGTACAGATGTGGCGTAATGACTCAATATAGCTTATACTAGCCGAGACTCTTCTTCATGTGTACAGATGTGACGTAATGACTCAATATAGCTTTTACTAGCCGAGACTCTTCTTCATGTGTACAGATGTGACGTAATGACTCAATATAGCTTATACTAGCCGAAGCTCCTTCTTTATGTGTACAGATTTCTTTCTAATGTGACATAATGACTCAATATAGCTTTTGCAATTTCCGTCGGCCGAGACTCCTTGATGTGTGCAGATGTGACGTGGTGACATAATGACTCAATATAGCTTATACTAGCCGAGACTCTTCTTCATGTTAACAGATGTGACGTAATGACTCAATATAGCTTATACTAGCCGAGACTCTTTTTCATGTTAACAGATGTGACGTAATGACTCAATATAGCTTATACTAGCCGGACTCTTCTTCATGTGTACAGATGTGACGTAATGACTCAATATAGCTTATACTAGCCGAGACTCTTTTTCATGTGTACAGATGTGACGTAATGACTCATTATAGCTTATACTAGCCGAGACTCTTCTTTATGTGTACAGATGTGACGTAATGACTCAATATAGCTTATACTAGCCGAGACTCTTCTTTATGTGTACAGATGTGACGTAATGACTCAATATAGCTTATACTAGCCGAGACTCTTTTTCATGTGTACAGATGTGACGTAATGACTCAATATAGCTTATACTAGCCGAGACTCTTCTTTATGTGTACAGATGTGACGTAATGACTCAATATAGCTTATACTAGCCGAGACACTTCTTCATGTGTACAGATGTGACGTAATGACTCAATATAGCTTATACTAGCCGAGACTCTTCTTCATGTGTACAGATGTGACGTAATGACTCAATATAGCTTATACTAGCCGAGACTCTTCTTCATGTGTACAGACGTGACGTAATGACTCATTATAGCTTATACTAGCCGAGACTCTTCTTCATGTGTACAGATGTGACGTAATGACTCAATATAGCTTATACTAGCCGAGACTCTTCTTCATGTGTACAGACGTGACGTAATGACTCATTATAGCTTATACTAGCCGAGACTCTTCTTCATGTGTACAGATGTGACGTAATGACTCAATATAGCTTTTACTAGCCGAGACTCTTCTTCAAGTGTACAGATGTGACGTAATGACTCAATATAGCTTATACTAGCCGAGACTCTTCTTCATGTGAACAGATGTGACGTAATGACTCAATATAGCTTATACTAGCCGAGACTCTTCTTCATGTGTACAGATGTGACGTAGTGACTCAATATAGCTTATACTAGCCGAGACTCTTCTTCATGTGTACAGATGTGACGTAATGACTCAATATAGCTTATACTAGCCGAGACTCTTCTTCATGTGTACAGATGTGACGTAATGACTCAATATAGCTTATACTAGCCGAGACTCTTCTTTATGTGTACAGATGTGACGTAATGACTCAATATAGCTTATACTAGCCGAGACTCTTCTTCATGTGAACAGATGTGACGTAATGACTCAATATAGCTTATACTAGCCGAGACTCTTCTTCATGTGTACAGATGTGACGTAATGACTCAATATAGCTTATACTAGCCGAGACTCTTCTTCATGTGTACAGATGTGACGTAGTGACTCAATATAGCTTATACTAGCCGAGACTCTTCTTCATGTGTACAGATGTGACGTAATGACTCAATATAGCTTATACTAGCCGAGACTCTTCTTCATGTGTACAGATGTGACGTAATGACTCAATATAGCTTATACTAGCCGAGACTCTTCTTTATGTGTACAGATGTGACATAATGACTCAATATAGCTTATACTAGCCGAGACTCTTCTTCATGTGAACAGATGTGACGTAATGACTCAATATAGCTTATACTAGCCGAGACTCTTCTTCATGTGTACAGATGTGGCGTAATGACTCAATATAGCTTATACTAGCCGAAGCTCCTTCTTTATGTGTACAGATTTCTTTCTAATGTGACATAATGACTCAATATAGCTTTTGCAATTTCCGTCGGCCGAGACTCCTTGATGTGTGCAGATGTGACGTGGTGACATAATGACTCAATATAGCTTATACTAGCCGAGACTCTTCTTCATGTGTACAGATGTGACGTAATGACTCAATATAGCTTATACTAGCCGAGACTCTTCTTCAAGTGTACAGACGTGACGTAATGACTCAATATAGCTTATACTAGCCGAGACTCTTCTTCATGTGAACAGATGTGGCGTAATGACTCAATATAGCTTACACTAGCCGAGACTCTTCTTCATGTGAACAGATGTGGCGTAATGACTCAATATAGCTTATACTAGCCGAGACTCTTCTTCATGTGAACAGATGTGGCGTAATGACTCAATATAGCTTATACTAGCCGAGACTCTTCTTCATGTATACAGATGTGGCGTAATGACTCAATATAGCTTACACTAGCCGAGACTCTTCTTCATGTGAACAGATGTGGCGTAATGACTCAATAAAGCTTATACTAGCCGAAGCTCCTTCTTTATGTGTACAGATTTCTTTCTAATGTGACATAATGACTCAATATAGCTTTTGCAATTTCCGTCGGCCGAGACTCCTTGATGTGTGCAGATGTGACGTGGTGACATAATGACTCAATATAGCTTATACTAGCCGAGACTCTTCTTCATGTATACAGACGTGACGTAATGACTCAATATAGCTTATACTAGCCGAGACTCTTCTTCATGTGAACAGATGTGGCGTAATGACTCAATATAGCTTACACTAGCCGAGACTCTTCTTCATGTGAACAGATGTGGCGTAATGACTCAATATAGCTTACACTAGCCGAGACTCTTCTTCATGTATACAGACGTGACGTAATGACTCAATATAGCTTATACTAGCCGAGACTCTTCTTCATGTGTACAGATGTGGCGTAATGACTCAATATAGCTTACACTAGCCGAGACTCTTCTTCATGTATACAGACGTGACGTAATGACTCAATATAGCTTATACTAGCCGAGACTCTTCTTCATGTGTACAGATGTGATGTAATGATGCAAAGACATGCTCGAATCTCCAGCGGAAATCCACCACTACCACTAGAATTAAAAACATTATTACATTGAGGTAAGGTAAGCCTCACTGAGAGTTTTGAACACTGGCTGGTTATATATTTTCTTAAATATGTATTTTGGATCATTTGTAACCCCCAAAAAGCTACGGACTGCAGCTTTAATGACATTTGTCATTAACATGCATAAAAACCTCCTTCTTATTCATGACTCTTTCTTTCTTTCTTTCTGGCAAATAAAAATAAACAAAGGTTTCAGAGTCAGTGATATTAGATTGTGTGTATGCAATGTATTTTCATTGTACTTATCCTGTAACATGCATGGAACAAGAGGGTAACAAGCATCAATTTAATTAATAGCCTGTAATGTCACACTTACCCTGTAACTACATGGAACAAGAGTATATTTCCCCAGTTTGTAAGCAAAAGTTGCAATAGTTTTAGTTTGTGTACTTTTGTTAAAAAATTACTATATAATTTCAGATATCTAATTTTTAAAAAGCCTATATACAGTATGTAAAATGTACACAGTGTATGTGCTCGCTTAATTAAATGTAATAATTCTGTATCATAATAGTAGAATAAGTAAAGTACCCCTTAGTTCTATAATACTTATAGTATAAATATTATCCTGGTTGTTATCCCTTTATTCCCACAACGTTATATATTGTTCCCTTATACTTACATGTACGTACTTTATAGCCTACACTTTAATTACCGAAAGTTGCGCTGTAAATTTGTCTTAATTATGGAGTACTTTCCGGGCTGTAATCTAAAGCGTTGCCCAATATTGTTTACTGCTAGCAGACAGTGAAGCCACCAGAAGTGTTCAAGCACCCAAATTGGTATTCCCTACAGACAGAGGGATAAATATTATTGTACAAAATACATTGTATTATTGTCAGAGGTCCGTTGAGGCCAGAGGATAACTAAGTCACTTGTGGTTTGCTAGTGGATGTATAAATCACCAACAACCACAAATGGAGTGTCATCTTCAGGGGAAAGAGCCAGTCTCATCAATGAAGTTGCAGTTGACCTTGTGGCCAGCATATAACAAAAAGTGAAATAGTGAAGCCACTAGCCTTCCCAAAATAAGCCCCAATACACCATTGTATTCTGGAAACAAGGCCTCCAATATTTATAAGCAACTTTATTAAAAGCAAACCCAAAGGTGACATAACTAAGCAAGCATGCCAACACTCTAGTGATAAATTTTTTCTCGTGATATCAAATGATGATTTATTTCCTGTAAATAATAGGCCAAACACGTATGGCATGCGAAACATTTTAGATACTCGTCTGATCAACTTTATTTATGCCTCACAATAACTAAGCTATTATGCTCTACTTTAAGTCTTAAAATAACACTAGCAAAACTCTTCCTGCAAACACCAAAATAAAAATAAAACCTAGAAGCTCCCTTATTTACCCTGTTGTTATTTCATTTAACAAACATCAGCTCCAACAAGAATCATATCACTATAATATGCATATACGTATTTAAGAACACAAATAAACATTATATGGAGCATACAGTATGCATTTACGTTTTTTTTTTTTTTTTTTAATTTACAGTGGTTATTTCACATTATGTGTTCTTGCACATAAATGTTTGGAAAAAAGAACAAGAGCACAAGAGAGAGAGAGAGAGAACAGTGCCATCTACTGAATATCTAGACAGAAAACTTGTGGAATTTGTGCACACATTTTATTTTATTTTTTGTCTTTTATAAAGTTGGGTCAGTGGTTTTTCATTAAGCAACATTTTAAAAACATAGAATCCAAACCCAGTGTGAAGCTGTTGAACAACATAAAATAAGACACTTTCCCCTGCAACCTGGCCAAACAAATAAATCTATTGTTTCTTCAGGCATTAGAAGGTTTTCAAATCATTTAACACAGCAAATGTTTCACAAGCAAGCATATTTCTCCTTTAAACGGTCAAGTTTAAACGTTCAACATCTGGAATCTTTTCAAAATAGCATTTCTATTAAGCAGCCACGACACAAACACACGGAAAAAAAAAAAAAATTACATGGATACTTATTTTGTGAATGGCAGCCAATAACACAAAACTCCCCATGAAGGACATATGAATCCTAAATTATGGCAACTGAAACGGTGACATCTAAATAATTTCAGAAAACTGATTCAACACTTCATTGTGTTTAATTGACCATATTAGAAATCCAGATGAATTCAGATACATGGGAATTACAATCAAAATGTTTGTGTTCAAACCGATCCATAGTAATAAACATGAATACATTCATCGATAACTGTAACGCTCAAAACTAACATTAGAAGTGTCCATTATTACAGTGTAACAATGCTGCCGTTGTCCTTCCTATAAAGACCATCATTCACTTCTAACACGAATATATGAATAAAGCTGCTGAGCAAAGGCAAAATAACTACAACAAAAGAAATAATAACCATGTACCAGCTGTATTACAATGTACCAGTCATATATGACATTTTATGAGGTCAAAGCACTGAGCTATAAACAAAAACCTGGAAGTGTATTAATTTACTCACAGTGAGCAAAGATTTTCACACGCATGGAAAGAACAAAATCTGTATGGAGCTAAAACGATATTAGAAATGCATGCATACAAATATTCACACACATCATCATCTGATGATGCTATCCCAGTAGATTTTGTTCATTAAAATAAAGCTAAATTGTGTGCGTGTATCTGTGGCCTGTATTATGAGTTTACAAAATTAAAATTAAATGCATAAATGTCCGTCTTGACAAATGCATTTGCATTCTGCAAAAACAATTCCAGAAAAGCTAGAAAATCGGTGAATAATAAAAAAAAAAAAATCAGTAGCAACCAGTGAAGATGAGCAAGGAGTAAAAAAAAATCTAACAACTCTCCATCAGTGATGTGACTTTAGAGGCCTTTTTCGTCTTATAGCAATTTGACGACAGCAAATTACCCTTAACTAAAGCTCTGTACACAAAGACTTCTCCAAACTTGGTAACATCTATATATAAATATCTCTCTGAGCCAAATCATATGGGTAAAACGAGTTTGAGTTCACATTTTCTTTGCCTCTTCTATATCTTACAACAAAACTAAAATATTTCAGCTTCATCAGAACGTACATAGCAAAGCTCAAAATAAAATCCACGCTTATGTTTTAGAAATACTAACTTAATCTTTCCAATGACAAACTCTCTTTAACCTATAGGCAAGCCTGCACAAACAATACATAATATACACACTCAACTCTAAAATTAAACTTTAAAATAAATCTTGTGCAAAGGATGAAAGTTGGAACATTTGTCAGGCAATAACATTTACACAGTGCTGGATTACAAGCATTGCAGACTATGCAAATGATTAAAAACATAAGCAACATATACATAAATAAAACTTTTATACTTAGAAGAAAGGGGCTTGTTGCGACATCTCTTGACGTCACATGATTTCAGTATTTCAACTATTGTTTTTGGCATTACGTGATAAGGGCATATTTAAGAGATACTGATGGGAGGTTTTGGTCTGTAGCCAACGACATTAAGTAAAAGGGAATAAATGCATCATGATATTTAAACAACAACCAGATTTGCCCTGAGCGAGGTGAATTTTTGTATAGTGCAAATAGCGCTTGAGGCCAGAGCCATACATATACCGAGTTGGGGCCCTCCAAAAGAAATCACGCCAACCTTTTCCAAGCAGCAACACTAAAGTTATGACACAGGAAATCATATGCTGCTTACTTTACCCTTTCATTTCACTCAGAACTTAAAAGAAAGAAAATACATCTGCTTTACGCTTAATATCCAGACTTGTACATTTACGTAGCTGGTATTAAAGGCTAAATGTTTTCAGATACCTAGTAAGCTTCTGGCTAGAGTTCACTGGAAAATTCCCAATAAGAAGCCCTGAAAAGAGATGTTTTTAAAAGGCCCTTTACATCCCAGTAAATCTGCCCTTCTGCTTTGAGTTTGATCTAACGTTTGTACGTGTATGGCTCTGGCTGTAATATGGGTTATATCACTAACACCTGCATGTGCCCGGTGACATCACCTGAGGGAGTGAGAGGCACAAGAGAGGAGCCGTCTCCTCCTCACACTACAACCAGTACCGGAGCGTGCTCAAGTTATTCTCCATCCATCGCATGTTCTGCTTAATGGTCTCAGTGGCCTCCTGCACGATCCTCATCTGAGAACCTTTCGCCCCAAGAGAACTGAAGAAGTTCTGGGCCTGGACAAGAAGGGTGAAAAATAATTCAGTACAAAAACATGAATTAAACGAGGACTTTTTTCATTTACTAATATATGATGATCTGATTTTTTTTTTTTTTTTTTTTGGATGAACAGACCTCCATGAGATGAGTTTTTGTGGAGAACTGACTGGTTGTAGACATGATGATGCTCTGAATGGGAAAAGATCCAAGAGGAAACCTTGCATAAAGAAAATTGAAAAGGGAAAACATTAAATTCTTAAGTTTCTATAAATCAAAATCTAAAATAAAAATCTTGGTTTCTATATTGGCCTTAAAGGGATACTCCAGCGTTTTTTCAGATTAAACCATTCCCTTAACCAAGACGAGTTGTTACATACCTCTGTCGTCTCAGTGCTGGCACTCAAACGCTCTGGCACGCGAGACACTTTGATCACACTTAACTAGCCCAGTTCATTCAATATGGGCCAAGCAGAAAAGCGACCAAACACCTCCACGTTTTCCCTATTTAAATACAGTTACACGAGCAGCGTAACTCGATCTAGGACGGTGACACAAAATAAAACGTTGTGCTTTTCTAAGCGTGTAAAGTGGATAACTTGTATGGCGGAATACCACAGCAAGTGCTTCGGAGCACTTCGACTCGGCGCAGTAATATCATCACTCGTGAAAATTCCTCTTCCTCTCCAGAGTGATGATATTACTGCAGTGAGTCCATAGATATATATGCGGTGAGTCGAAGTGCTCCCAAGCTCTTGCTGTGGTATTCCACCATACAATATTAGTTTTAATCCACTTTACACGCTTAGAAAAGCACAACGTTTTATTTTGCGTCACTGTCCTAGGTTGAGTTACACTGCTTGTGTAACTGTATTTAAATAGGGAAAACGTGGAGGTGTTTGGTCGCTTCTCTGCTTGGCCCATATTGAATGAACTGGGCTAGTTAAGTGCGATCAAAGTGTCTCGCGTGCCAGAGCGATTGAGCGCACGCACTGAGACGACAGAGGTATGTATCAACTCGTCTTTGTTAAGGGAATAACATAGTTCAATATGAAAAACAAAACGGTGGAGTATCCCTTTAAAACATTTATGACTTTTCTCCACTAAGGGGCCGTTTACACAACACCATTTTCAACTAAAAATGGAAAACTTTATGCGTTTTGGATGTTCATTTAAACAACAATTGCATTTTGTGTGCCTGAAAACAAAAGCTTTTGAAAACTACTTTCAAAGTGCATGTTTTGAAAACGGTACTGTTACCCTCGCCATGTAAACAAGAAAAATAAATTTGTTCTTTACAAAGTGACTTTGTCAACTACTGGGCCTGAATAATACAGCAAATTTAGTTTACTTAATTTCACAGATCCGTGTGAATGGGGATCGTTTTGACAATATCTGTACGCAACAAAACGCAGAGGAAAACCGTTTCCGTTTTAGAACATCGTTGTCGTGTAAACAAACTCTGGACGAACACTATTTACATGGTGTTTTCATAAAAACATTTTCTTTTTCTTATTTACCTTTACTATGCACAAAAAGTATGCACATGCATGTAAATAAGAAAAGGTTTAATATTTACATTAAATGTGTGTAGATTCAAAATGTTGCTTAAAAACAAATATTTAAGTAACCCTTCCTCCAGTTGTTTTTTTATTCTTTAAAGAGTAACTAAACACTAAACCAACTTTTTTTTAGTTAATTATCTGTAAGAATGGATATTTATTAATACCAGTCATTGATTTGTGTAACTTTTCTGACATTTGTGTATAAGATGTTTTATTTCTACATTATATGGTGTAAAAACGTCTTAGTGCTGCCCTCTTCAGGTTGAACGGTGGCTACTGCAGTTGAATTTTCCTATTGGATGTTCCGCACATCGTGACGCTCCTGGCACGAGCGGCAGTATAAAAACCAGCTTGTTTCGTCAAAACCACTGTAGGGAGTCAGGAGTTGGAATTGCGAGTATTGAAAACGATCAGGATAGAGTGTTTTAGCATCTATTTCATCCCCTCTATCTCCGCTGGGGTCAGCCCACTTTTTCAAATATTACCAGTGGGTGGAGTCAGGCTCTGACCAGGGGTTTAGTTACCCTTTAAATATGAAAAGTTCACCACTCACTTTTGAGTGATTTTTTCCCAGTTCTCCTTTACAAAATCCCATGCATAGAGGTAGCCAGCAAAGTTCCTGCAAATCGTGTGGATCACCAGAGGAAAGTCTTGAGTTTGAATCTCACTTCCGTCAAGACTTTTCTTCATAATCCTAAAATGGAAAACCAAGTGAAATTCAATATTGCATGTGCTGACAGCTTGGAAGGTTTTCCCTCCCAACAGAATATGTCGCCAAGCCTTTACCAAAGAATTTTCCGTACATCCTGAGTGCTGGCCAAACCTTCCAGTGTCTTGTGCTTCTCCGAGTCATAGATGGAGTGCTTATATGTGTTTAGAAGCACATCATCCGTCATCTGTTTGGGCAGCAACTTTGAAGACTGTTCTCATGAGATCACTGGGATCCTATACAATACAGCATATAACAAGAGAAAAAAAAATGCAGTTTTTGCAGACTAACAATAATGACAGTTTCCTAGAAGCAATTCAAATAATTCAGGAGTAGCGGTTCAATCACTACTCAGACTTACGGAGAAGTCTTGTTGGAATGGACCCACTGATCAAATAGATGTTTGGCCTGTGTTGTGCAGTTGAGTCTATTGAGGGAACATGCCATCTCCAGCAGGGCGGACCGAAGCGTTATCTTCGACACAGAAGTTTCCAGTTCCCATGACTGACTCTCCATCAAACTTCCAAAATGGGAGTCGATGTAACTCTGCAAAAATTGAAGTCAAACAACTTTTAGAACTAAATACATTGTCCTAAGATAAAATAAAGAGAGACAGTTCAATAGAACAGCTACATATGATAAGATGTTGCAAATGTTTCCTACCGTCATTCTAGACACCAAGTTCAATTCTGATCTTTTGTCCAGCAATCTGTAAATCTGATCAAGCTGGAAGAGAGCTTCAGTCAGAGGAGCTGTCTCGTTCTCGTTTCTGATGTAATCCATTAGGTTTAAGACCTGCCTGAAGGACACCCTTCCCAATCTAGAAGAAAATATGAAGCATAATTAAGCATCCCAAAAAAAATAAACGTATATATTTTTGAAACTGATTGATCGTAGAGCTCATTGATCTGAGGATAAAGTTCATCTCTCTGAAAAAGAAAGCCTGTAATTGTCTAAATAGTTTGTGTGCATAAGTGCGTGTGTGCGGATGTCTCCAACCATGCACAGGTCTGAGGCTTTTATCTTTGTGAATACACATGATGAACATGCTCCTGAACACTAAATTTTGATCTCCCCCCTTCATTTTCAAAGGATGGGCATTTTTGACCAATATAAGCTCAAATCAATGAGGCCTTCAATTTAGACAGTTAAAAAAATAAATACAATGTCTGTCCTAATTGAAAGTTGACCAAAAAAAAAAAAAAAAAAAAAGACTGAATCCCATATTTGGTGATAATATAGCATAACAAGATATTTATAAGAACTTTTTTTAAATGTAATAAAATTTCAACTATATTATTGTATTTTGATCAAATGAATGCAGCCTTGATGAGCACGACCTCAAATATTTGAATGGTAGTAATTTTCAAAATAAAATAAAAAAAGGACAAATCATTTAATTTTACACTGCAGCCAGAAAATATTCTTGAAAAAATTATTAAAACATGTAAACATTGCATGCTAGTTTTGATGGGTATTACAGTATTATCACATCACTATGAAATATTCTCAAATGTACAACACTCAGATCCCACACCAATCATTGTGTTTCTTTCTCCAGATGTTCATGAAGGAATAATTATTCCAAACATATTTTTAAATTATTCAAAAATTGTGTATTATTTTTTGAGACTGCCATTGCAAATAGCAGTATTATTAAATAAAAATATTTTAAAGGAACACTCCGACTTTTTGGGACTTTAGCCTATTCACCTTACCCCCCAGAGTTAGATAAGTCCATACATACCTTTTTCATCTCCGTGCGTGCTATAAGTCTGTTTGACGCACCCACCGCTAGCCTAGCTTAGCACAAAGACTGGATGTGAATGGTTGCAGCTTTCATACTAATCCAAATGAGTGACAAAATAACGCAAACGTTTTCCTATTTACATGTTGTGGTTTGTATAGTCACAGACTGTGCAAATATCAAGGCCATATGAGACACAGACATCTTTTGACCGTATAAATACTATATTTTCTGAAGGCGAAGCACTGCTACTTGGGCAGAGTGATAACAATCACATGAGACGCACCGTGACGAGGAGCAGAGAGTTCGCTTCGCTCAGCGTTGAAATAAAGAGTCAGACATTACTAATGTTAGATAGAAAAGCATAGTTTATCACGGGTGTTTGCTTTGTTGTATGAGCTGTGACAATAAACAGGGGAGACCAGGTAATGCACCATGTTTCATTGATTTCCACCAAAAACGCACCCAGATTTATAAATATCACATGAATAAATAATTATTATTACAGGAATCAATATATTTTAAATGCAATTTATTAGCTGAACCAAATGTATTCAACAGTAGCCTATATAAATACAGTATTGCATTACTATAGGATAGAATAAGGGGAAAGTAATAGCACAAATTTGTTTTTGCACATGAACTCACAGCCTATCGTACCCTTTTGCACGCTCAAGTTCGTTATTTCCATGGTTTTTCAAATTTAGGCTACTAGGCGCGCCGCGCGCAGGGTGCAAGTTCAACGCAGTTAACGCGCTCGTTTTTTTTCCCAGCGCGTCCGCACCGCATCAAGATAAAAACATATTCATACCCTAATCATATAATAGTGTCACTAACGTTACATTAGCTCTGGCTAATGGCACTGTTACAGTAGGTCATCTAAAAACATAACGGAACACTTACCTTCAGCCGCAGGTGATTCCACTTGTCCTGTCTGTGCTATCGATGGGATGGCCGTATCCTTCAGCACATTATGGTCCGTGTGGCAAATTCCATTTTTTCAAAATAGTCGTCCTCATTGAAATGTACCGAGCAAACATAATGTCCCTTGATAATCTTAGGTGTGTTTGGATAAATATCCAGAGTAAGTAAGTTAGCCATTTCTTCATCCAGTCAGCGTTTTTAGTTGGAATTCTGTGAAACATGGTTACCTTCCCTGTTTACTGTCGCAGCTATTTACAATAGAGCGAAAACCCATGACTGTAAACTACGCTTTTACTATTTATAAATTGCTGACTCTGTTACCCAAACACTGAGCGAACTCTCCGCTCCTCACCACGGCGTGTCTCAGGTGATGCGGTTATTACTCCGCCAAAGTAGCAGTGCTTCGCCTTCAGAGAATAGTTCCCAGGTTTTATACGGTTAAAAGATGTCTGTGTCTCATTTGACTTTGTTATTTGTACATTATGTGACTATACAAATCACAACATGTAAATAGGAAAACGTTTGCGTTATTTTGCCACTCATTTGGATTAGTATGAAAGCTGCAACCAGTCACATCCAGTCTTTGTGCTAAGCTAGGCTAGCGGTGGGTGCGTCAAACAGACTTATAGCACGCACTGAGATGAAAAAGGTATGTATGGACTTATCTAACTCTGGGGGGTAAGGTGAATAGGCTAAAGTCCCAAAAAGTCGGAGTGTTCCTTTAAAGCTGAATCACAACAATAAAAACTATCGGTAAATAATAATAAATGAATGATTCCCTGATAATGTCAGGTTTTCCAAGATTGTAGGAATCCTGCAGCATCAGCTCTTGTCTAAGTCTTGTCTAATAACTTTAACCTTTCAATTAAAATCAGATCTACCTGGAGAGAGCAAAGATATTATTGATGAGAGCTGCTCTGTCTTCACAGGGGAGGACATTTATGTCCCCATTCAAAGCATCAATCAAGGCCTTCCACCCCTCCATATCATAATGCACTATGTAGAAGCCGTCATTCCTGAAGTTGAACTTCAACCACTTCACCTCACCGGGAAGCTTTAATATGGCTGGAAACATTTAAAGCAACAAACAATATATTATCATCTCCAGTGTTTGGAATAATCTGTCTGCGTCCATAAACTCGGTCCTGAGGAAAATGCTCACTGTTTTGTCCTTGAGATGAACACTTGCTTGCAGGAGCTGAGAACACTACAGCTGTCATTCACGTATGTCAGGGGAACATGCCACAAGCTGCTATATGGAACACAAAAGTCGATCATTAACATTAAACATTAAGAGAGGCGGACATCAAGTAAAGCTGGCTTTTTTAATAGATCATTATAACAGAGCTCATTTAAACCTCGGAACTTAACACAAACAATACTATTCTATCTCATGCCATACACCACAGTTTAACGTTTGGTAAGATTTTGAAATGTTTTTGAAAGTCTTTTATTTGATCAAAAAAGACTTATTGAATTATTGTAAAAACATTATTATAATTTAAAATAACTGCTTTCTATTCGAATATATTTTAAAACGGAATTTATTCCTGTAAAGTAAAAGATGAATTTTCAGTAGCCATTACACCCGTGGCCAAAACTTCTGGCAGTGACATAAATTATACTTATATAATAGAAGTTATACTTCAACATTTGCATGTTTCTATGGGGAAAATAATGATAATAAGCCTTTCATTGGAGTGATTTCACATGACTAGTACTTGTTCACACTTCCGCATGTGCTGATGATGAAATGATCTTTTGTGTATTGTTAAGCGTGTTGCAATTATTTAAAATGCATCGATCACTCTGCACAATAATCCAGAATCAATGTGAATAAACACAACAACTAAAGCAGAAAACTTTGTCACTGACAATACTTTTGGCCACAGCTGTGCTCCAGTCTTCAGTGTCACAAGATCACTCACAAGTCATTCTAATATGCTGATTTACAGCTCAAGAAACATTTCGTATCATTATCTTTGTTAAAACAGTTGTGGTGATTAATTTTTGTGTGAAAATCAAGATACATTTTCTTTGTGAATAAATAAAACTTCCAAAAGAACAGTGTGTCTTTGAAATAGAAATCTTTATAAATGTCTTTACAGCCACTATTTTTGTAAACGTTCCATTTTATGTTCTGGTATATCCAAGAGAAACAAAAGAATGACCTTTACACCGATGTGATCTTTGTTTATTCTTTTAAAAGGTTTGGTTCACCCACAAAAAAAATAAATTCTGTCTAATTGACTCATCCTCATTTCATTACAAACCACAAATGAAGATTTTTTCAGTCTCTCAATTGTCAGCCACGCAACTACCACTTTGACGCTTCAAAGAGATCGAAAAATCTCCATATGTCCATTTTATTGTCCTAATCCATATGAATAGAGTGCCGAAGTTACGACGTCACTCTGCAGGCCAAAACGCGGAAGTGAGTTAGCATTTTAGCACTACCGGTTCCCTCGCTCTAAAGCCTATGGGATTTTTGAATGGGTTTTTGCTAAATCGCCTGAAATAATGTCTGTGGTGAACAAAACCTCTAAATATTTTCACGTTTTGATCTATGACATAGAACGCACAGTTATAACCAGATTGTGGTTTTTTTAAAACTTTATTGTGTCTGATTGTGTTTTTTAAAATCTTTATATAGGTTTCAAAATGTAAACATTTTGGATTAACTTGTAAAGATTATCTTGATAGACAAAACGTGTAAGTGTCACTACTTTTTGTTAAACACAGATCTTATTTTTTGCAATTTTCCAAAAGTCTATGGGGAAAATGCATTGCTTTTCGACCGAGGGAACCATGCGCCGCTAGCTTCCCGAGTTGTCCTAACAAATTGACGTCATCACTTCGGCACTCTATTGAGAGGTCGAAGAGACTCGATCGCTTTATCCACAAGTTTCCGAGGGGCGCTCCTGTAAAAATAAAGTGGGTGAAACTTCCGGTGACGTGGCGGAAGTACATTCCAATGGTATTTTGTGTGTTAGTTAGCGAAGAGGCTAGCTGTTTTTTCGGAGAATTATTTTACTATTTAAAGACGCAAATCTTTAATGAGAGATGTCGTTACGGAGCTCAGGGACAACATGTGCTGTTCGGGTTGTATGTATAGCCGGACTAAACTAATTTAGTGGGCTTAAACGGGATTGTTTTAACGAATCAGAGTGATCCTGTCAACGACTGTAGTTTCCATCACCTCCCAAAAGACGACGAATCTTCCTGTGTACATTTTTTAAATTCTTAATGTTCTATAAACTCTATCAGCATGTGTTTGGCTGTTCTCTACTGATGTTACACTAAACTCAGGATCAAAGCCTGTGTTGACAGAATACCAAATGTGCCAGTTAATGTATTCAAGTAGCACATTCATTTATAATTTTGAATAAACTCCAAAGCACAATGACTAAGTGTGTATTTTTTATTTTAATTGTTTGTCAGCTCACACAACTGTCTGTCACCCTGCCTTGATGAGTATTGATTATTAATAATGTTATTATAATACTCCAATCAACTAGTGCGGAGGTAAAGGTACTGTTATTTCACCCTTTTGAATTTCGTTGAGGTGTGTTCCCATCGTTAGCTAGTTTGGATCGCTATAACCTTGAATGACTGTCAGCTGTTGATGAATGAACGAGTGTCAAGCATGTCAAATCGCGCTTTGTTTACTTCCAACCGGAAGTCGCGCCCACTTTTGACGCAAGGCCTCATAGGGCTTAGGAAACTTGTGGATATGCTGAAAAAATTTTATTTAGTCTTTTTCCAACATTCATCAATCGCATAAGTTAAAGTAAATGGAAGCTCAAGCATGTTCGCTTGACGTGTGAGAACCAATGTTTTACGCAGCACACTTGCACTTCAGCAAGAAACAATAAGGTTCATTCTCAAGACACTCAGCATGTTTGAGCGTCCAAAAGAACCAGTGAGGTTCATTCTCCTGTTACGCAGAAAGTTTGAGCTTCCTCAAGAACCAATGAGGTTCATTTTCCTGTTACGCAGCACGTTTGAGTTTCAAGAGGTTTGTTCTCGATTGTCAGGCAGGTTCAGGTGAGCTT